GTGCACAAACTGGTACGAAGCAGACATATAAAACAACGTATTGATGTGGAATACTTTAACTTTTACTAGACATATTTATCTGATTTTCATATCTGTATGCGCAGTATACATATATTATAAATGAAAAAATATATTATAAGAAAGAGAGAACAATATTGTAGAGATATTCATATGAACTTGACAATGAATTTTTACTTCCTCAAAAATGTGACGTCAAAAAATTCCAAATTTAAGTCCTAATTTTCTAATTCAAAAATCATTTTTCGAATTTATTTAAGTTTTCATTTTCAGAATAAATTCATTCTTTACGTTTGTAGCTAGTTAATTTATAATTTTAACTCTACTCGTAGGCTAAATAATAATATACAATTACAAAAAAAAAAAAACGTTTGGCGTATAAAGCTTAGAAAATAAAAGAAAAAAAGACATAATTATTTTACAAAAGCTTTCCTAAACATTTTATGCAAACAAACTGATTTAAAGCAAAGGCAACAACACAGCTACCAATATTGGAGACATTTACAAGCGATACGATACAATTGAATGGTTGTCTATTGTTGGCATGAGATGAAGTTGATTTTCTTTTATTTGCCTGAAAAAAAAAAGACGGCTCTTCAACGACAAAATCGATTTCTTCTTCTCATTTTGTCACAAGATATATCAATGAGAAACGAATTTTGTTCCGTAATTTTGTAATTGAGAGTTTGATCTTCCAATTAAACTAAAGGAAATCGATTCATCAAGAAATTGTTCTATTTTTAATAACAATTTTGACAAATCAAATTTATCAGTCCACTTGAAAAACTGATTGATTTCAATATTTGATCAATGAACGACATCCAATCGGTTGTAAATGTCAAGGAACCATAGAATTTATATGCAGCCAAATACCATATTAATCATGCTTGATATTGTGAACTTCGTTTTTTTTAGTAGAAAATAACTCTCGTTAAGAAATTTCAGAAACTAGAAGTATTTAAAATTAACTTAAATACAGTTTTGATTTTTGTTATTCAAATTCATGAGAAAAAAAAAAACTTTTGAAAAGCTCTGACAAATGCTTTCGAAGTATTTGACAATACTGGCAAACATTATTCTCACTTATTCAATGTAATTACTGCGAACAGGTATTTCTTAAGAATATGTATGAAAAAAAAAGAGAAAAATAAAATGAATGACAGATGACGATCATTGAATGACAAGTTCAACGTAGAAGGATAATTTTGATTGGGGTGAGTTTGGATGTAGATAGGATCAATATTCAAACCCACACTCACATTACCTCGTTATGAAATTGTCTTTTCATTATTAAGAGAGACAAGTTTAATATTATACTCTCAGTAACTGTCAAACAAAAACCGAACAACAACGAAAAAATACAATTATTTCTTCTTGTGTGCTTCCGTGTTTCTTTAGTCGTTTGAATATAAAGACATTCATAATCTAATATTGCGAATGCACTTCCTTTTATATTCATGTTCTATTCTTGTCAATTTTGTATTGAGTGTAGGTATGTGCATCATTTTATTATTTTTGAAGTGTTGTTCTCAAGCATTTTTTTAAGAATTTTATTAGTTGTCTTTTTATGAAATGTTTTTCATATAATATGTCATATTCTTTACAAGAGCAAGATCAGGTTCTCACAAAAAAAAACACTATTCACGAAGTTCATTGCGATTATATTAAAAAACAACAAAACGAGAAATAATCAGTAACTACTTCCTATTGAGAATAATTTCATCGTATAATTCTTCATTAATAATAATGATATCAAATTATTGTTATCTTTTTTGATGTATTATTTCTAAATACAAACATGAAGATTTTTATATTTGTTCATAAGTCATATCGATAAGGAATTCATATCTATTTTTTCTCTTTTTATATGTTTGTTGTAAGACAGCCAACCGATGAATTACTATTATCAGTATATGAGAAGTAAAAGGATAAGAATAGGTCATTATTATTCCTTGAAGAGTGAATACAACCATAACAATAGCATCAACATCCAACATAAGTGATGACGACAACTAAGTCAATTGAAACTCTTTCTATGCTAAGCTGTTTTTTCCTCTCTTTATCCCACTGAAGTATAATCGTTGTTCCTGCATTGCACATCACTCGAGTTTCCTATTCCTAAATAATCTGATTTTTAATTATTATAGATAAATTGTAAAAAAATGCATGTAAATACTGGTAAAATCAAATGAATCTAGAATCTCAGTCTCGACGAATTATGATGACCTGTATGCACGTGTTCTCCTTCTTTTCAGCATTTTTCAATCATACATGTACATACCATATTGATTTGTCATTTTCTTTCTTCTTCATATAGTGCCAGACGAAAATTGAGAGCAATTATATTTTTTGAGTTTTCTTCTCGATGGTAATAGATAGAAAACATTTGAGTATCATAAAGGATTCTGTATAAGTATTGGTCAGTTTGAAAAATCCAACGAAATTTTATCGATGAGAGTTTCTGGACAAGCAAAATATCCAAACAAGTTTTTTGGTTTTTCAGTCCAAGCTTTTGAGAAAATATTTTATTTGACAGAGTAAAGAATTCTGAGCAAAATGACATGTATTTGGCGCCTCCGTGAACTTTCTTTATCGAACTGTATTCAATTTAGATAAGACCTAATAAGCATTTTTCTCCGGTTCTTATTGAAAATTTCACTGTTTTTGCCATATATAATGCTTCGTGTACAAATAAATTTTTTCTTTTTTATCAAAATTTTATTTCGAAATTTAAATGATAAAAGCATCAGATGCCATTTTCTTTTGGTACTGATGATTATTTTCATAATAATAGAAGAAAAAAAAGCATTTAGTTTGAGAAAGATGCAGTTGGAAAAATCTGATTTATTAGTAAGTAAAGTACTGCAACAAAAAAAAACATTATTAATTTTTAACGAAAATTATATTTACATTCCGAACTTTCGACAATTATCAATTGACATCATCAGGAAATCACTAGAGGAAAACACAATAAACTATACACACAAATTTACAATTAGAGATAAGCGGGTAACACAATTACAATGTGACCAAGAAAATATAATAATTGGAATTATTATATTTTTTTATCTCATTGTAATTGTGTTATCCGTTTATCTTTAATTGTAAATTTGTGTGCATAGTATTAATGTACTTTCCTCTAATAATTTCCGGATGATGATAATTGTCTAAAGTTCGAAATGTAGATATTATTTTCGTTAAAAATTAACAGTCTTTTTTTTGTCACAGTACTTTACTCATTAATAAAAAAAAGTGTTTCCTTGTTTTCTAGTTTATGAATTTTTCTTTTCTTTTCTTTATCCGAAACTGCATATGCTTGTTTAAGTCGACACATTTAGATATAAGATGTTATCTCCGCTGACATCGAGTTATTTTTATTGTTAATATTTGTTAATTTCAGAAAATTACATGTAGAAACATCATAAGGCAATATTAACTTCAATAGAGTTTATTAGGTAACAAATAGTTATTTATCTAAGTGTATATTGAGTAACGTGAAGTTGAATAAGGTATGACAAAGACATTCGTTCTATTTCAGGGTGAATTTGAAAGACTTTTATTATGAGTTTCAATAAGGTTTCAATAATATTGAATTAAAAAAATATTTTATAAAATTTTGTGTCCATTCTTCGTTTTTTTTCCCTTTTCAAGGTAATCGATCATCGAATTTGTTGTGATACGCTCTTTTCAATATTTCGATGTTGTTGTCAACAAGTCAAAGTTTATTATCTAATAATTCAGCAAATAATGAATTATATTGTCCCAGTGTATTTGATAATCTCTGTTGGCCACAAACTCGTGCCAATCATTTAATTACTATTTCATGTTCATCATTGGCTATGCCAGGAGTTGACGAAAGAAGTATGTATTTTCGAGTTTTTTAATAAAAAAAATTTGCCATAATTTATATAGAATTTGTCACTCGAGATTGCCTTTCAACAGGAGAATGGTCATCTGTTTCATATGAATCCTGTATTTATCCGGATATATGGGATTCAGTGAAGAAATTTTATATGATAAGAGTAGTTCAACTAAGAAAAGTACCTTTTTATTTAATTTTTAATTTGAATTATAAATATCCCGATGGTTTTTTTTTCTATTTAGCCTTATACGGATATTTTTCAAGCAGTGCGTATTATTGAATTAATTGGGTTATCAGTATCATTTATCAGTATACTTGTTTCGTTTATAATCTTTTTTAATTTGAAGTAAATGAATTTATCAAAAGAAAAATGTATTTACTGGATTTTTTGTTGTTTCAGAAATAGATCTCATTACTATAGTCATACAAAAATTCATTTTAATCTTTTATTAACAATACTTATTCAAGTAATCGCTCGAATAATTAATTACGGGTATAGATTTGAATATTGATTATGAATTTATTAAATGTTGAATTGTTCTAGAATTCAAGTGAAAAAATCTAAAAGTTCTTCACAAATAGAATCAATACAATGTAGTGTTGATGAAAGTATTCATATTCATGAAACTCCATCTATATTGAAAAATATGTGTCCACTAATACTCATATTTTCACAACTTAGTATAACATCTATGTTTATGTGGATGCTTTCTGAAGCTATTTATTTAAATAATGTAATAACATTTCGTCCATATTACAAGAGTTCTACAACATCATATTTTTATATACTTGGATGGTGTAAAAAATTGATTTTTTTCTTCAATTAATGTTTTTTCCATTTATTTGTCTTTTTTTTATAGTTGTACCATTTTGTATAACATTAGGTTGGAGTATGATTATGTTTATTAAACAACATGGTAAAAAGTAAGGTTTTTTAAAAAAATAATATAAGATAATAACTTTAATTAATAAATTTAAGACTTAAATGTTGGGAAAATTATCAACATCTTAAATATTTTCGGATGATTGATGGGCCTCGCTATGTAGTAATGATTGTAAGTTTATTTTAGTTTCATTCAAAATAAAATAAAATTGTTTTTTTTTTCTAGATAAATTTTATTGTCTTATTGAATGTAATACGAAATCTGTTTCTTAAAACTCGATACGATTCAGAGATACAAATACGTGATGCGTAAGTGAAAACAATTAACTCTTTCAGAAAAAAAACAGCACAATAAAAAGAAATTTTTTACTCAAAAAGGTCAATTTATATAAAACTATTCACTCAGAATCTCATGATACATTATCCTATGTGATATTCACTATACATCAGTAACATATAAGGTCAAAACAATGGAATAAATTTATTTTTTTTTGTATCTTAATACTATGAAAGATAATTTAATTATTCTATTTCATTAATTTTTCATATCAAAATATTTAGGGAACATCGTCGAAGCTCTATGAATACAAAATTTGTTAGGTAATTAGAAAATATTTCTATATCAATATATTTAAGTTCGGTATATTTATAGAAAAGCAATAAAACCAGCTATTTTTCTATCATTTTTATTGAGTATTACACATATACTTAACATATTTGTATCACCAGGTAAAAATTACTGAATAAAAAAAAATATTCTTGTTGTTTATTTTTAAGATCATCAATCACTTCCTTTGGTGGCTTTATACTGCTTGGTGACAAATTTCTTAATGGCATTTCAAGGTTTTTTCTGTTCATTATTTTATTGTTTCTTAAATACTGAAATAAAACTTTGCTCATGTTGAGGGTGTGTGTATGAAAGTCGATCTACGTTTCACTACATCACACATACTGACACTCCTGTTCATGCAATGAATCTTAGATATCTTCGAAAGATGGATTAGTCACTAGTGTCTACATTTGATCTAAAATAGTTTCTCTATATGCAAGTACACTGTAAAATCAATGAACATCACAGTCGATCAAGATTGGACTGATATCAGCACAAAATGTGACATACAAGTGGGAGAAAATGAATAGATTATTGGAACATTGTCTCTTACTCGAATAGCTGCTGATTAGAGATGTCTGACTCTATTTTGTACAATTGTTAATCTTACAATAGTTTCAGATTGTTATAGTTCTCGTCTCATAGGACAAGATCGTTAGAACAATATCATAGTTTACAACTATCTAAAGCTGGTAGTTATTTATCGTACTGTTGAGTTAGAACTAACGTCATTCTGAACATCGTTGTTAAACTTTAAAATCAGCCGATAAAAATGAAATCTGTACCGAAGAGATGACCATTACCTGTAATCATATGAAGATGTTGTTAAACAGGCACTATAGGATTGCCATAAACCATTTAAACTGAACACAAATGATATTGGCGATGAACTGAACAGCTATTACTGTAAATGTTGATTATGTTTCTTTCTTTTTGAGGTCACAGAAACGACAACTTCTACTTTATTAACACTACTTAAAGATTGCAATTCGAAAGAACAATCGACACTTGTTTTTTTGGTCACTTAACACATACTATCTTTCACAATATCAGATTCGTCCTCAAACTGGAAGAAAGTCGATTGTGTATGAAGTGTAAAACTCGCCTACTGTGCGTTATTGATAAAACTAGATAGATCGAACTAGAATTTCGATCACACCGATAATGGAGTCCTTTACTTAAAAATTCAACATCAATGGAAAGAGTCTTGATTCGAATCTAATGGTCGAAGAACTTTATTTCTCTTCTCATGTTGACGATCAACATCGATCCTATGACAGCAACAACTATCAAAATTAGGATCGAACTTCATCGATTGGATAAAGTAAACACTAATCATACTGATCAGTAGTCGTGTCATGGAATCAACGAAATTTTCATTGTCAGCTGAATCAATTAACAAGTTTGTATGAGATTCATGTGAACACGACGATATTTGTTTTATACTAAGTGTCCACTCGATTGTTAGCCATGTTGTAACGATTGACGCGACGCGTAAGTACCGATCACAATGTGAAACATGATCAATGGATTTATTGTCGTGCTTATTGGTGCAAGTCAATATATTCGCAACCATGAACGATATGTTCACTAAAATATCGATTGACTCTTCGAGAAAATTAACTTCGAAGTGGAACAGAGAGGATACTTTTTCCAAATAAATCCACATGTCTGTTGTCTCGCATTGATTGTCAATTCAATGTGGAATGATCAATCAAAACTGGCATCAATTACAAACCGTCCCAACCGGCTAAGTTTTGTTGTCATCTCTCTCATTAGAAGATTTCATCGATAATGAATAGTCAAGATTATTTTAGTCCGATGCAAATACGAATATATTTTGTCATTTCATTCTTATGAAACCTTTTTTGGACTAAAACTACAATTTGTATAGAAGGTATAGACAATGCATTGAATTCAACGTGAACTTATTATTGAAACAAACCGATAGCCAAAATAAACGTGATGACCATGCAATAGGAGATAAGAAAATGAAATGCTTTAATAGAAAAATCAGATAGAATCAAGTTTATATTTGCATTGTTATAAGTTTGTCTTGGATAAAAATGTAAAAAAAATGATGTACTCGTTAGTTATTTGAATTCATCAATGCGATGAATCATAGCTGATCTTGACTCAATGATTGGTACAATTAAACGTTTAACAGATGGAAAACAACAAGATATCTCTTCAACAGAGTAGTCGCATTACTCCCGTGAAGAGTATTAATGAAACTTCTGCATCTGATGAGTATGTTCAATGTTCTACTTACGACAGATCGACTATAGACAACAGAGTCTCGAGCGACATTGAATATCTCAATTTTAGTGCTTTGATCAGTGAGAAGTGAACATTAATCTGAATAGATTCTGCTGTCACAACGATTTTAGTTACATAATCATAAATAGTTGTATTGTCAGGTGCTGTGGAATAAATAGATGATTCATATGGAATATTAGCATCACTTCGAGGGTATGTGCGGGTGTGTCGCCGAAGAAATGACCCGTATACCCATACGTCAATCGTAGATGCAAATGCTATTAATAAGAAATTGTTTTCAATATGTCACTTTTGTTGAAGAATTCAAATAAAAGAGAAGTATTTTAAGAAAATCTTGGCCTTCGTATTCGTATGTTCCTATAGTACTGTAGCTCTTATGACATGGTACACACTGCCGATTCGGCCGAAGCCGTATTGAAATGTTGAGCAAGTCATTTCATTGGATTGAAATAGAAGTCTCGCATACAAGATATAGTATATATCATAATCTTTTTTTTACATAACATCGTCGACCAGCTATGACAATCGATTTGACAGTCAACTACTGGTGATTAATCTCAAAGAATTTATTGAAATTATTATTACATAGCACATCTGATTGGAAGGAAGCTTTGTTGTTGAATATGTCAAGAATGAAAGTCAATCACAGCGCGAGTAAGACACAAATTTCATTGTTAGATAACTGTGATCAATTTTGATAGTTACGCTGTAAATGACATTGGGATCAATTTATATTACTAATATCAAATTTTAAAATAAAAAATACTCAAGTCATCATTGGTTGACAATATTATCGATTACATTTCTTCTAGACTGAAAAAGAAATCTTTCAAAAACACTTTTTATTTTAATACTTTTCTATTCAAACTATTTTTTGCAATTTTCAATAGTTTTCTTAAATTTGATTTTTCACATCATTCATCGATATCCTATTTGATTAACAAGAGCAAAATATTCATAGTTTAAATTCTTATTTCGACGATAATAAACTCATATTTTATTTATTTCTATGAAATTACTAACTAAAATGATTAAATATGTTAGTTGAATAAATATAAAAAATATTAGTAAGCTATACAATCAAAATATTCATTGTCTATTGCTTTGTCTGCTAAATTAAAACAAAATACATTCTTTGTCATTAATCATGACACTACTACGGCAAACGTTCTAATCGAATTTGTTCATTATCATTTGTTGTAATAATCAATTGTTGTTCGTCTTGAACTTCTAATTTTTGTAAACTAGAGATTAATTTTCTGAAGACATCTTCTTTATCCATCTCTGCTGGTGAACCATTCATTTCTCTTGAAAAGAAATCAGAAATTTCCCATTGATTAGTCATAGAATTATGTTTCAAAATACAACTTAGATCATTCATCGCGTGCATATTAAGCTTAAACACATTTGGATCTAGACCATGACCCTTTATTTCAATTTTACAGTTAACATATCCAGGATGTTCGGGATAATCAACAATATTCCAATCACCTTCAATATCAGTAATATGTGATGACATGATGATGTTATTGGAATCGAATAATTATCTTTTAAGAAGTCTAGAATAACAATAGAATTAGAGAAAGAAAATTAAACAAAAAATTTTTATATCCAGCAGAAAGAGACAATTTCTTTTTATTTTCACAGCGTAGTTTTGTAACTATTAAAAAACAAATAATGCACATCCTTGTATAATCAACTGTCAAGAAACGAGAGAAAACGGAGAAAAAGAAAAAAAATAATATGCGCTATTTTTCCCCATCCTTTTAGTTTGAAAGCAGTCTTCACCTTCACACAGCATTGCTAGTGCATTATTCACTTCTATTAGTGTGTCAGCTATGCTTAATATAAACACATGTCTAATATACTTGTAAGACTAAAATAACGCAAAATACTAAAATATAAAAAAGAAACTGGGCGTCGATGCATTTAACATCGATGATTAATGAAACAAGCTTGAAAACGAACAATACAGAAATACAGTGTCTTCTAAGTATATATTTTAAAATTGTGTATCAAACTGAAAAACTTAGATCATATATAAATGTACTAGAAATATTATCGTACCTTAAATAATACTTATAGGCAGTAGGTAGATGAAAAGGCTGTATAAAGAAGCTTGAAAGCACATTTTTTATTTATTTGTCAAATATAACCAATTATCTATCACTGATCTTCTCATTTATCTGAAATTATTAAAAACTTATTTCAGATTTCTTTCTTTTCCGCTCTACTTTCACTTAAATCAAACGAACTGCTAGAAAACGATAAGAAAATATCTATGAAATAGAGATCTATTGCTTGTCATGTTAGCAATTCATATTAATTCCTAAACGTGTTCTTACTCACTCGTAAGAATACTCTTATGATTGCAAATTTGGGTGCGGATGTGATTCTTATCTTTTTTTTATGAACACTAACACACACACCAACCCACACCCTCATCCATAGACACACAACTTTTCGATGTGCATTAATATATGATAAAAAAAATTCTGATTCACTGTACTCAGTTGTCATTTGAAACCCAGAAGTAAAATTCTAAGACCAATATTAAATAAAAAAGGAAATAAAGTTACAGCAATGCAATGATAAAAAAAAACTGACGAAGTTTTTTGTTGAAAAACCAATCACGTTCCATATATAAACTGAACTTCATTAGAGAAATATGGCATGCTGAAACAAGATTTACTTCTTTATCAACATGAATATCAAGTTTTATATTATGAAGAAACTGGTCTTGTGAAATGAATCATTGTTCTAGGTCGAGTCATTTCTTTTATTTATCTAGTACTGTATTCACTGTACGTTTAGATATAGTTGCATTTATGTCCATATTTCTATCCTGCGAGTCTATAGTTAGGTGAATCAAATCTCGATGAACGTTACATGTCAGTCGTCTGAATAACGAAAATACAGTCATATTCTGCAGAAAAGAATACAAAAGTATAATACACAACACCATTGCAAAAATAGCATAAAAATAGGTAGATACCTAATGATGTTGAAAAAACAACATGTTGAAATTATTACAGGGTTCGTCCAATCATCTAACACACTGAAGGTTATTGACTATTTGAAAGTATTGTACATAGATATTTTTTTAAAATGTAGTTCAATGCATGAAATACGTCACAAAAGTTATTATATTCTTTGCTGGAACCAAAAAGAAAAAAGCCAAAAAAGTCCGTATATCAAAGCATTGAATAACAAACCAAACTTGTATCATCTAGAAGAATCCTATATGAAAAACATGTTTCTAACACAAAAAATTGCTTTTGTGAACCAATAACTGCAAAGATTTTTATTAGGGGAACATTTTTATAGCATTGCTTGTGCTTGCATTTATCGTAAATCTTTTTGCTTTTGTCCGATTGTGTGTGAATGTGAACCTATAAATGATCCATACCTCACCCACACCCATCTAGTTTGTCGTTACGATAGTATATTTTCGTATTCGATTATTTATTTAATGACATAGATAGATGTTTGATAATGAATCCATGGTAACTCCTAATTAATAGCGAAGAATTATTTTTCTAGTTTTATTTTCAGATTTAACTTACTGTACGGTACACTAGATTCATACGATTTCGAACCATCATTTTCAATAACTTTAAATAAACCATTAAGTTTCGTCACCATTGGACGGCCATGTTCATCAGCATATAATCCATCTCGTTTATTAAATGCGCATGGTAAAATCTGTTTTTCACTTCATAATAAATGAATTATTTTAGCACATTGATTTTGTTGATAGGTAACATCGAAATTTCATTATCGTCATCCCTAATAATACAACGAGGACGACGAAATTTTGAATAATCGATAGCATTTTATGAAACACCTTTTTATCATAATGATGAAACTTCTTGGATTGGTGTGGATAAAGAGAAACCCATAGCCACACCTACTCCTACACATTCTATATTGTTTCTCTTATGCTTGCACAAGCAGAGTTAACTTTTCGTATATTGACATTGTGGCAACTATAAAACAAATCTTATTAACATATGTGATTGATTAAAGGCTTAAATATAAAGTGTGAGTGTGGATATAGACCTATAGATGACCCACACGCATTTACGTCGTACTTTCAAATAGATGTAGGTTAACGAGATCTTGCCACTAGCTTGGTTTCTTTCAGATTTGAAAGCCAAAACAACCCTATCTATGCCGATTACCAAGAAGCTCATGATCACGAGTGGCAAAGAAATCTGCTTGTTAATTTATTCGAACATTTTGTTTGCTTAGACCGAAATCGGTGTAGAGAAGAAACTATTTAAGAATGTGTGAGCTTCGGACTCTAAACTCCACAAGAGATGTAGTAACGAGAATATCTTATTTACTGCCATCTATAGAGTCTATTGTTTCATTCTCATTTTTTTTGAAAGTCTCCTTTAATGGTTGCTCTTTTTGCAAAAACAACAAATCTGTCGCAATGTGAAGAACAGAACATAAAAAGCATGTGATTGTTACAGTCTCCTTTTAGGTGTTGACTTTCATCATCAATAAATTTGATTCATACTTTTCGTCGTAAGGTGGTAGCAAGATCAAACAGGTTACCATAATATCTCTCCGATTTATACTATATGGCATCATTTGAATTGATCGATCTTCCAAAACCTGCCGGTTATTATGAAAATCAAAGACGGTATAAATTGATCAGTGTGGTCGCCCTCTCTGATACTCACAACAAACATGATCAACTCGTCATACCTGATGGTGATATACTTCTCCATTGTGGTGATTTCACAAACAAGCAAGATTGGCATAATTCATACAATGCACGTGTTACTGAGTCGACAGTAGCCTTTAATAACTGGTTAGGCACATTGCCACATCGAGATAAGATTGTCATATGCGGCAACCACGAACTCGGATTTCAAAATCTAACGAAGGAAGAAATTCAGTCACGAATTCTGACTAATTGTCACTACTTAGACGATGAACTTATCGAAGTAGAAGGGATATCGATTTATGGTTGCTCTTGGTCGTTTTCCGAACATCAGTCTCTAAAATTGTCTTCGATACCAGCTAATATCGACATCTTGATGACTCATATTCCACCCAGATATATTTTGGATTTAGCCTATCAGCCAGAGCAAGGCGAATCGATAGAGCCGTGTGTCAAATGTAAGAATGCTATTCACGGTGAATACGGACATTGGGGTTCAAGGACTTTAATTAAAGAAATTCGTCAAAGAATAGAACCGAAAGTTCATTGTTTTGGACATGTACATGACAGCTCAGGTTTTAAATATTCCAGAAGAGGCTCAGGAACGATGTTTATCAATGCTGCCATGGACTTGACAAAAAAATGTTACAAATTTACGTTCTATGTCGACTTACAGAAGTATCACTAATTAATAAAGAATTAATTCTCCCCTATTGATTGATCGAACCACCTAAAGATGAGTGCTCAATTTGATCTGAATTGCGAAATCATCTATTGTTCTTACATATTCCTCATTCATAATTATTCGCGTTATGATTAACATATTTCATATAAGGATTCTACAGAGTAAAACTAGGAAGCTTATAATGATCAGTCATATTGTAGCAACAATAGCACAAGGTAACCTGAACAATGCTATCGTAACGTTCTCTAATCAACTGTCTTTGGATGTGAAATGAAATATGCACCTTTCGGCACATACCTAAATCCCAAAACCATTGGCGTCCTACCTTGTCCTTCTATAGAAAATTAAGAAATTTTTCAGAGAATCTTATTGTTGAGGTTCATTTCCTCTGCAAATTTTTCAAGAAATAGGTTATACTTCCAGCCTTTTTCCACTTTCATCTGCAAGGAACGAGCCTGCAAGTCTTTGCATAAATCCTGCATTACTTACTCGTTTTCAGGAGTTCCACTTCACTTTAATCGAATTCTCGCACTAGATGGTGTGGATGTGGATGCCTAATCAATGGGATATCCACCTTCACTTCTACCACACAACTACGCATCTATACACCCACACCTATCTACATCATTGATGAAGAAAATTTTCTTGCATAAATAGAAAATAACTGAATTTGGACAAAGAAAATGGCATAGTAATGCCTGTCAAAACTAAGGCAAGCATACCATCACTTTTTTCTTTTCATTCTTGAAAATTTAATAATGTCGAGAAAATGAAAGTAAGACTCATTTTATCTGACAGACACAAATCATGATTTTGAAAAAATATGGAGAGAGTATATTAAGTTGTTTTATTAATTGAGTTTGCCTCTGACTTCGATCATGTATTTCATCAATCAGCCATGTAACTGCAGTGGCTAGAAAACTATGCCCATACAATAGTACCGTCACTCACAATAGGTAAGCATTGTCTCAACATTAATGACTCATCAGTTATGTAAACTACTCGCTCAATTTCTTCTTTTTTATGGCATACGAAAAAATGTCGCTATATATCAACACAGAAGCATGATCAAAGATAAACAATCAACAGAGTTGAGATTGTTACATGTCCACACCGTGTTGTCATGTCGATCAAATATACAAATGTATGAAAGAGA